ATCGCCGGGTGAAAATGCGCCGCGTTTGTCGCAATGCACCACATTTGTCACAAAGCGCCATTTCCGACAAATACGATTAAGGGTAATGGAATGGAACGAATAGGAGCAGGGCTAGGAACACTTTTAAAGTATGATTTTTTAGTACTTATTGGATCCAATTTGTCTGTGACCTGACATGACCCAGCGGTATTGGTAGGGAAAGGGGTAGTGGTAGGAGGTAGTGGTAGGAGTAGTGGTAAGGGTAGTAGTAGTGGTAGGGGTAGTAGTAGTAGGGGTAGGGGTAGTAGTAGGGGTAGTAGAAGGGGTATTGGTAGATGTAGTGGTAGGGGTAGGGGTAGGGTAGGGGTAGTGGTAGATGTAGTGGTAGGAATAGTGGTAGGGGTAGGGGTAGGGGTAGGGTAGTGGTAGGGGTAGGGGCAGTGGTGGAGACAAAAGTAGAGCAGCGGCCCGTGCTGATCCCATCGGACGAGAGGTGACCTAGGGGCACTCGGAAATCGTAGGACGAGAGGGCACTCGGAAATCGTAAAAGCAAGATGCGCGAGACTCCGCAGCTTAGATTGGCATTATCATCGTATGCATTTTCCATCCAGTTCGGCAACAAAACCCAAAAGTTTATATTTGCTCCCAAAACGAACTTTTCCATTTTGTTGCCACACAAGGCGCATGCTTTGTTTATTGATAGACCCTATCGAAGGAATGGAGCATGGCGCGTCTATTTGCAGTGAGTTTCAAATTCGAGATTTGGGCGTTATTTTGGACACAAAACTTACATTCGGACCCCACGTTCATCAGATGGTATCAAAAACAAATCGTGCTTTGGGTGTCCTAATCAGATCGTATCAAAGGGCTACCCCGGGAGGACATCCCAATCTCAATGTATCATCTGTCATGGTATCATACTTCGCCTATGTTCGTTCCAACATGGAATACTGCAGTGTAATTTGGAGTGGAGCCGCCGCAGTGCATCTCGACAGGATTGGCCGGATCGAACACAAGTTTTTAATGTGGCTGAACGCCAACTGTCATCATCGCTCAACTTCCATCTCATATGACGATTTGTTGAAACATTTTAACCTCACTTCCGTATCTGTCAGGCTGGTGCAGCACGATATCATGTTTGTTCGCAACGTGCTTAGAGGCAGAATTAAGTCCGCACTCTTGCTGCAGGCGTTCTCGCTTAGTGTGCCTATCCGCGCAACTAGGCAACAGGCGAGTGCGCTGCTGCATGTGCCATTTGCAAGGGTGAACGCAATGAAAAACGGTTTATTTACAAGGCTGCCGAGGCAGCTCAACCGGCTTGTAGAGAGACTTCCCGCGGTGGACGTGTTCTACGACGGTATTTTCACATTCCGTAGCAGCGTCAGACATTTTGTGGCAGAAATGTGACGCTAAATTTGGTGTCAATCCCATCTGAAATGACGATTTTTGGCGATTTTTTAAACATTTACCACTTTTTGACTAAAAACGCCATGTAGTTACATCACTAAAATCGATATATCTCAAAATTTTTTGGAAATTTTTTCTTAAAAATTGCACAGGAGACGTCAAATTGATGGGGGAGAAGGTATGCCAAGTTTCAAGTAGATAGCGAAAGTGGTTCATGAGTTATTCAAGAAAAACGGAGGGGGGTCGGATCCGACCCCCCCCCCCCCCAGGCGGTCGCGGGTTAACCCTATGGCGCACGCGAGCGCGTGCTGACGGCGCACCCCTGGCCCGATCACGCCCAAATTTTAACCCTCGCACGACCAGGCCATTTCTCATAACACGAACGACCAGGGGGGGTTGTAACGACCCCCCCCTGGCGTTTCGAAACGGAAGGTCGTAGAGCTTAGCGGAAAAAACCAACGGATTGCTCTCAACGAGATCTCGCGATTGGTGGTATATTTTTTGGTCCTAGGTCAACATTTGACCTACTTATGACCGGTCAAAGGTCAAATTTTCCGAAAAAATCAAACTTTTTCAACTTTCCGCGACGATTGCGGCAAAACGGTGGGAGATATCGACTTGAAACCTTCACTATCGTGTTCCTTGATCAATTCTCTATCGTTTGGTATGCATTTCGTTTCCCTAACTCTAAAAATGGCGCGTTGGGAGCGCCGGAAGTCGGCAAGGTCACAGTCGGCGGCAGAAATTCGAAAAATCAAAATTTAAATTTTTGAAATCTGATTGTATTTTTGGATTTGGGAGGTCCATTTGCTCCCTATAGAAGCTAATATTGCTGCATATTCCCATTGAGGTGACAAGAATTAGCAAAATAGTGGTTCGGGCGCTTTTCAAAAATAGTACCGGACACTGTTCCTCTTGTGACGTCATAGCTCCGTGACCTGACCTGACCCGGTCAATTTTCTTGCACCACACGATAGCCAATGCTTGCCTCAACATGCATGGGAAGTTTCATCATGATCCATCAAACAATGTGGGTATCACCGGCAGAAAACCTAGGGATTCGGCGCACACGTTTGGTAACTGTCGGCCGGAGGCTGTACCTCTTATGACGTCATAACTCCGTGACCTGACATGACCCGATCAATTTTTTTTCGGCAAAAGATGCGCAAAGGTTGCCCCAGAGGGTATTGAAAATTTCAGCCCGCTACGACAAGCCGTTTAGCGTGCACTTCGAAAAAACCTCAGGGGGGGTTGATACAACCCCCCCCCCCCTCCTAGGCGTTCTAGGGTTAATACAAAGGCCGCCCACGCCCACAGATTTGGCATGCCAAATTTCACGCCGATACGCGGCGCCTTTCAGGCGCCGCGTATTATTTGACGTATTATTGACAAATTAAAGGCGTAGATAATTTTCACTAAAAATCGTTTTGCAGAGGTTTGAAACATTTATATTTTTAACCCGCGCCCCGTAGGGCTACCGGCGGACCCTACCACCCGTAGGGAGGGGGGGGGGGCCGTTTCGGCCCCCCCCCCTAAGATCTCGGAAAGTTACCGGCCGATTTTCAAAATTCAAACGGCGTTCGATAGCCCCACCCGGGAACTACCTTGTGACCAAATTTCATTGACCTAGGTCAAACCGATGACGTCACAGGTCAGGTCAAAGTTCAGATTTTCACCGTTCACAGGCAATTCAAGAAATGTGTTGTGAAAGCGAGTAAATTGGTAATTTATTGAAAACCATCGATGGTACATTGTTCGTCAAACACATACTTTGCTATCTGAGGTCACTGATACCAGGTCAGGTCACAGCGAGGTCAGGTCACCGGGGGTCACAATATGAATGTGTCGTGTGATACATGTTTTATGGTCCATTTTACATGACAAATGCGATTATGTGGGTTAGGCAGCCTTTGGGGCCAGCCTAGGTCACGTTTTTGTGAAGGTCAGGTCAAGGTCAGGTCAAATAAGGTCAAATTTCAAAGTTGATATTTTTGAATAAAATGGGTATCGATTCGATGCAGCTCGTCAAGGGGAGTCTAATGGTGGTCTTCGTTTTGCTCTACGAGTTCTAGAATTGCCAAAAATTGAGTTTGAAAATTTGACGTCATCATTTTTGAACAGTTTTTTCGCTATAACTTGGCCAAAAAACGAGGTATCGATCTGAAATTTGGTATGTAGATAGAAGATGGTAGGCACTATCACATATATTCCGGTTTTTTCGAAACTCAAAAAACTTTTTGGATTTTTTGGCGAATATATCCAAAAAAAATGCTTTTTTGATTTTGGGGGGTCAAAACTCAAAAATTTCAAAAATTCGAGATAGCAGTTTTGTAGCCCTGTCAATTCTACACCTTTTATGTCTTGATCATTTTTCTGTATCTTCAAAGCTGTAGTCCTGACAGGTCTTCTCGCGAAGGTCTTTTTTCGGTCGAAAATGACAGAACATGACGTCACTCTGACGTCATTTGTGGCCAACCTATCATAGCCTCTGGTAAAATTTTTGGTCACAATGTGTAAAATTGATGCCCGGAGGGGTCCTGAAAGTTTGGTGGCGATATCTCTAGCCGTTTAGGAGATATTGACCGAAAAGGACAGGGGGGGCCGTTTCGGCCCCCCCCCCCCTACGGGGCGCGGGTTAAGAATACTGTTGCTTGTCATGCAAACGTGATGATTGGATCTTGGAGAGAATTGAATGCTCTTTCCAATGATAGCATTTTCAATTGTCAAACGTATCAGGTTAAGCAGCAAAATCCGTGTAATTATTTAGTGGCACATTTTGGACAAATACCATTTAATTCAGCGATTTTTCCACATTGTTTTTGATCAATTAGCTTTTCACAATTTTTCCATGAGAGACGGTACATTTTTATTGCTAATAGGCGCTGTTTCAACTCATTCCGTCTGACGATCACCTGAAATTAATATAAATTCCAAAATCCGTCCATAACGTCCATTTTTCAAAAGAAAGTGTCCTCCCCGGTGCACGTGGCGCGTGCCAACCCCTGCACCGCACACCATTCGATAGCCCGTTCGATTCTCTACACGATGCTGTTTTCCCCGTACCGGTCTGGCCCACGGTTACCGAGATATTGCAACGGGACCGGGCCCGTGTCGGGCAAATTTGGCTGTTTTCGCCCGTTTTTGCCAGCCGATTAATACATGTAAAGTCTATGACGCGAATTTGCACTTTTTGGGCACGCGCCACGGGCTCGCTATCGATCCGATCGAGCTGAGACCCATCAAAGGCACGTTGTCCATCCTTGTTCTATGAGTTGCGCAAACTTCAGCGCGGTAGGTGCAACGGTGTGACCTGTAACCCGCGCTACGTAGCACCATGTCGCGACCTTCGTAATAGACAGAAACTACGTCACCACAAATAGTAATATAGATTTTTCAGCATATTTTTAGATGAGGTATCGATTTAATTCACAACCTTATTACAATATTTTCATTATTTGTAACTTTATTTCAAAATAATATTTTTTAAAAATGGCAGCTGTTGGCAAGTACCTTGGAAGCGATTGTGGCGCACCACGTCCTTATTGTCCTGAGGCCCCCTTATGATGTCATCAAAAGTGGAGTGGCATGGGCCTGCACCAGCGGTCCCCACTCACTTGGACGTGGAGACGAAGTCGGTGAGCTCCCCGTCGTCTCTCTCAAGCTGCTCTAGTGTGCGTGCCTCGCCTGTAGACTGCATGCCGATCACCACACACTTCCCCATCTTCATGGAATTACTGTCGGCAGTAGTCGCCTTGAGGTCACAGCGCGCCCAGGTCACAGGTACAGCGCGCCTTGAGGTCACAGACAAGCCCGTTACACTCCAAGTCTAAGCTACTAGATATGTCAATCGGATACCAACTTCTTGGTATACCGATACCAAACCAATACTAACTTGGTATTTGGTATTTCAACCCTGATGTGTTTGGTATATTGTTGCTATGATGAACCCTCACTATTGTATAACAGGCTGAGAAATCGGTAAAAGTTGGTATTTCCCTCATGTTCCCAAGTTAGTTCGGTTTCGGTATCTCCTCACGGTTTTAGTCGATTCGGCTGATCACAAGGAACAAAATGACACTATTTTTGAAGCTCTAGCCCCATTATGTGCGAATTTATTTGCAAAAACGTAGTTTGACCTCATTTGACCTCAAATGACCTGACCTAAGTGTTTTTTTTTCAGCAAGCAAACACCGAATTCATCTTTGATGAAGCTAAACCTACATAAAACGTTGAAATGGAACATAGGTATTTTAGCCATTGGAGTTATTCCGACAAGTTCGTGACCTCTAGATGACCTCAGGTCACCCGAAATTGAAAAACCTGGATGCAGGTTACACATCTTGGTGAGTTAAACATATCCTGCCAGTTTGAATAAAATCGATGAACAACTCTAGATTTCATTGACAAAACAGTGCATTTTCAGTGCCATTGAAATGCCCTGTACCGGTTTTTGTGACCTTGTGACCTGACCTGAGGTCACTGGAACACAAAACTCCTAGGACACGTGTCAAATAGCTGCCCCAAGTTGTGTCTGAAATTTGGTGGCCCTAAGTCTCACGGTTCTTACGCTATTAACGATAAAATTAGCGATTCTGTGACCGCTAATGTAGTCAAATCTTACCCTAACATTGTACCGGTTTTGGTGACCTGGTCAGGGGTGGATATTTGTGCCGAGTTGGGGTAGCACGAGCTTTCCCAATTCCACACCGGCTTGGCTTTGGAGCCGCAACAGACGGCGGAGGTCAAGGTCACCGCTAGGACGGCGACGGATTTGCTGCGCCCGTGCTACCCTAACTCGGCACATTTGTCCGCCCCTGGACCTGGTGACCTGACCTGAAACGACAGAGATCTGAAATATGCAGGTAAGGTGCCAAAAGGTTGCCCCAGAGGATATACCAAATTTGGCGGCGCGTAGTGCCGCCGTTTTTACGTTATTTGCAAAAAAACCTAAGGGGGCATTGCATCAACCCCCCTGGCCCGGCGAGGGTTAAACGATCGGACAGGCTTAAAAATCCTACTGTAGATATTCTTAAGTGCACCCATGAAAACCTTCGCATTGTTTAGCATTTTTGGGTGCGATTAAAAACCATGCCCGGATGACAGGGCCGGAGCCTACGCTAAGCAGAGCTTATTGCGTAGACCCCGCCCGACCCCGCCAAATTTTAACGTTCCAATCAAAGCCGGACACCGTCTGTCCCACACAACTGATTTCAACTGGCTTCGACTGCTCACAACAACCGCGGGTACTCACTACCGGGCTCTTACTACCGGGTTCTCACTACTCCCGTCAGGAGGCTCAAATAAAAGACCGCCGGAGCGACACGAAATCGGGGAGCCCAACGCTCTACAAACTGAGCTACGGAACAGGCCACCACGCCCTAGTTTTGATCAACCATGCATATCAGAAGAACAGATGAGAAGTAAATATTCAAAGCACGAATAAAAGCTCCTACATAGAACACGGTGACCCCCCCCCCCCCGCCACCGGCTACACCCACCTGGCAATGTTGACCACATGTTTGACCTTGGCGCCAATGCAGAGGTACTTGAAGAACCTCTGGTGGGCAGACCAGAACTGGCCCCACATGGACTTTTTGAGCGACTTGTCGGCGTCGATCAGCTCTGCGGCGCGCTGGAACTTTTCTCGCGCCTCCACCCAGAGGCGCACCGAGTCGTCGTACAGGGCCACCATCTCGGGCGTCAGGCGCACCTCGTCGATGCGGAAGGCCGTCCCGTGGAAGCTCAGCTGGCGCGCCATGTACGAGCCGCGCAGCTTCATATCCATCGCCACAATCTCCATGGCTCCCACACCACTGCGCGAGCCACAGGCACCGGGTCACAAACCCAGCACGAGCAACGACTACCGGACAATAAATATAGACTTAAATTAACGACACCAAAGCACAGACTAAATAAAAGATACCAATCCCATAGTAGGTAGCACAGCCCACAGTCCCAAAGAGATAGTGTGATTTGTGTAGTGTGGTATAGTGATATTGTGGTAGTGCTGTGCAGGGATTGTGCATGATAGTGATACTGCATTACAGGGTAGGAGGTCTTCTTGACTTCTAAGTGAAGAAGCGGCAAGAGTATCGCAGCGCAGCACCTCCTTACTTTGGCCATTTGAAGCTTAAAAACATGAACGCGTATTGGGTAAGTCTTCGAGGTATTCTACGACGCCAAAATTGAATATATTTCCTCTCTATCTCTAGTCTCTACTGGTCCACCGACTCGGTGCTGATGCGGCTACACACGGAGCTGTGTGCTGCCCGCCCGGTCAGGAGCGCCGGCTCAGACGCCACCGACCCTCCGTTCGACATCGAGTTCCGAGCGGAGACGATGAGCGCCGGGCTGCGGCTCCTCTCCTGGCTGGAGCGGGAGGAATGGGGAGAACGGTGGCCCTCTGGGGAGGAGGAGGGGCAGCTAAGGTTGATAGCTTTGAGGTTGATAGCTTAAAATTTATTTGAGCCAGAGGACCTCACGTCAAAACGGTTTTCCGACCCCAGCACGTGCAGCCTGCACCCCTCGCAGACGGTGACCCCCCTGGAAACTGGTTCAAGGTGTTACCGATGTGTCCCGCCAGTATGGCTTTGCCCGTGACCTCGGGTTGACCTGTAGCCTTGACAACAAATTTCGTGTCACCGAAACTTTGAAGCGGAATAGCATGTGCCACGAAGCACCGAGCGAACCGAGGCCAGCACCAAAAGTTTACCTCGCCGGAGACGAATCAAACGGTCCCACTTTCGTCCCGATCGGTCCACCCATTTTGACTCCAGGTCCAAAAAAGCTTGGACAAACTCACTCACATACTCACTCACTCACTGACAAACAGGTTCAGCCGAACTTTTTTTCAGCGACCCACCAATGGGAATTTCCGGATGCAAAAGCATGCTATCGCATGCTTTTGATCCTCCAATTCTGGAATATTTTGAACATTGACCTAAAAAATGAGTAATTTCCAGATAAAATAACAGCGAAATCAGTTTTCGCTTGCCAATAAAACTCACAGATATTGAAGCTCCATTATTAAAGGAACATTTTAGTATATGCCATTCTTGATAAAACTTCTTAGCCACGCAATACCAGCGCAAAATAAAGAGACACTGAAAACACAACCAATCACTCCGATTTACCATAGGAAAATACATAGAAAATGTATGTCTCAACTGCGCCAAATATACAGACAGTTATATACCTACATGTGACGTCATGATTAGCCCGACCAATCAGAAGCAAGTTGTTTTCAGCCACAAATAATTAATTTCTGAACTAACTAGGCATTTTTTTAACAAAGTGATTTTAAATTAAATCATTAAAAATTCTGAGCTTTTTTATGTTACCAAAACATACAGAGCATGCAGATAGGTCCCAACCCTATTGAGCGTTTAACACATAAATATCGTTGCATCATTAAATCGTTACATCGCAGTCGAGTACAAAATACATATTTTCGTTTGTCTAACGGACAGAACGTTACAAAATTCATACAGTTTGACGTTTGTGAAAAGCGATAATGTGAACACATATATATTGCACAAACCGGTTTCGATATCACTTCATCAGTGTGCAAATATATAAATAAAACACTCAAAATACAAAACGGAGACGAAATAGGTACAGCCTAAATTAGGTACAGCTGTACCTATTTCGTCTCCGTTTTGTATTTTGAGTGTTTTATTTATATATTTGCACACTGATGAAGTGATATCGAAACCGGTTTGTGCAATATATATGTGTTCACATTATCGCTTTTCACAAAAATTCATACAATCAGCACGCGGCAATGCTTAAGAGTCATCTTCATATGTAGGTACACATACATACAAGTAAACAGCACAAGTAGATCACAGGCCTATCTATCAGATTGACCTATCTATTAGCTGCCCCTCCTCCTCCCCAGAGGGCCAGTGTAACTGCCGATGATGCGATCTGTTTGTTGATTGTTGGGGCTTTGTCTTTGATGTGGAGCGCTTCGAGAATGTGTAAACGTGTTTGACAGTCAGCCGAATCAATAATAATTGTGTTGTCCACTATAGTTCGTTTTTTTTTTCAAAAGGACGCTGGCTCCAAGTATGCTTTTCGAACAAGCACGTGTTTTAGCGAGCAAAACGAGCAAAAACTGAACCTGAGAAAATCGAACGTTGACTAATTTTAACATGTGATTTCTTCCCGATAATTTCCATATGTGCGTTTTGGAACCAGATATGAGAACAGTGGTGACGTAATGCTGTCAAACATGTATTGCAATGTAACGTATAACTATCATGGACGGAACCGCTTACTGGATTATAAGCTCGGCAACAGTGAAAAACCAAATTCTTTGACACTTGTCCCATTGCACGGACATTTGGGTGCCTGCTGCCACCAGTGACGTCATCATAGTAGGTTCATTTTTAAGAAACAATTTCCAGCTATTTACCGTGCACAATTTGAAATCGATTATTTTTTTCGGTAAGAAATTCTTGGCCAGACACTGAAGCTGCCAAAACTCACGTGAGAGCTTCGATATTGAACTTTGAGCCAGCGTCCTTTTGAAAAAAAAAACGAACTATAACTGTGCCCTTGTGAGAGTTGTGTTGTGGTGTCTGTGCATGTGTTCTTTCGGTGAACCTTCCCGTAGGTGCATCGTGAGGCGACGTGATAGTGTAGTGGTCGTGACCCCAATGTAGCTTACTGAATGAAGCCTACAATCTTCATATGGACAGTAAAACTGGTAAACTACATTGGAGCGTTTCAGTGCGTTGCCTTTATCATATGGATTGTTTTTCACAAGAAGTTGTTGAGTTTTTCTGTTGCGATAATAGATTACCAATTCAAGTTTGTCATTGGAATTCGCGCATTTGACGTTCTCATAAACAATGTCCCGTAGAACTCTTTCGTCAACTGTGTATGCTGATGACATATGGTTACGATAATATAAAACGATGCTGTTTTTCCTGTTCTCACCTGTGATGCTGCTTTTAGAAGTTTGATGTTTGTTCAAGAACAGCCTTATTTCACTATCAACTTCCGCGTTTGAGTAACCATTATTTACCAGAATCTGCTTGATTCTGGTAAATTCTTGGTCCAAATCTGACCAAGATGAGCAATGATTCATCGCTCTCCTGATGAATGATTTTATCACACTCTTTTTGTATCTGTCAGGGCACTCACTATCAGCGTTGAGACATTTGCCAGCATCGGTCTTTTTCCTGTAAACAGTGGTTGAAAACTTGCCACCATCGCCATGGACCATAACATCTAAGAATGGGATCTTATTTTCAATACTAAGCTCATAGGTAAATCTAAGTACTGAATTGTTTTCCATAGCCTGTATGATTTGATGTAGATGCTCAACGCTTCGAACGTCCACGAACACGTCATCCACGTACCTACAATACATGTTTGGTGCTATTTGTGGATCAGAAAGGATCTTGCCCTCAAGTGCGGTCAAGTGCCAATTTTTATATGACCGCACTTGAGGGCAAGATCCTTCCTGATCCACAAATAGCACCAAACATGTATTGTAGGTACGTGGATGACGTGTTCGTGGACGTTCGAAGCGTTGAGCATCTACATCAAATCATACAGGCTATGGAAAACAATTCAGTACTTAGATTTACCTATGAGCTTAGTATTGAAAATAAGATCTCATTCTTAGATGTTATGGTCCATGGCGATGGTGACAAGTTTTCAACCACTGTTTACAGGAAAAAGACCGATGCTGGCAAATGTCTCAACGCTGATAGTGAGTGCCCTGACAGATACAAAAAGAGTGTGATAAAATCATTCATCAGGAGAGCGATGAATCATTGCTCATCTTGGTCAGATTTGGACCAAGAATTTACCAGAATCAAGCAGATTCTGGTAAATAATGGTTACTCAAACGCGGAAGTTGATAGTGAAATAAGGCTGTTCTTGAACAAACATCAAACTTCTAAAAGCAGCATCACAGGTGAGAACAGGAAAATCAGCATCGTTTTATATTATCGTAACCATATGTCATCAGCATACAAAGTTGACGAAAGAGTTCTACGGGACATTGTTTATGAGAACGTCAAATGCGCGAATTCCAATGAAAAACTTGAATTGGTAATCTATTATCGCCTGTGATCTACTTGTGCTGTTTACTTGTATGTATGTGTACCTACATATGAAGATGACTCTAAGCATTGCCGCGTGCTGATTGTATGAATTTTGTAACGTTCTGTACTAAACGGAAATATGTATTTTGTACTCGACTGCGATGTAACGATTTAATGATGCAACGATATTTATGTGTTAAACGCTCAATTTCTGACGATGAAACATGGAATGTTTCGAAACGTTAAATAAACAATGAGCATAGGAGAAATCCTTTTTACACTTCCAAGACAGGTTATATATATATATATATATATATATATATATATATATATATATATATATATATATATATATATATATATATATATATATATATATATATATATATATATGCGTGTTTGTGTGTGTGTGTAGGTGTGTGTGTGTGTGTGTGTGTGTGTGTGTCCGCCCCTGGTGCGCCCTACCGCTTCTCCACCGCCGATATGAAGTCGCTGAACTCTCTGAACGGCGTGCCGGCGCCCCAGATTCCAAGCCGCACCATGTAGGCCATGTTCTTAGGCTCGGAGGCGCCGGTGGCTGAGGCGTATACGACGCGCGCCTTGGGCAGCTGCTTCTGCAGCTCGAGCACTGTCAGGCCCGTCTTGGTCGGCTTGGATGAACCAACCGGGCACAAGTTCTTGGCCCGGTGGCACTCGTCAAAGACGATCTGCGGGGCACGAGTCAAGGAGCCGACACGGTGCGCCGGTGCATAGCTTATTCCCTTGAAATGTCACCAGCATAAACACCACAAACCTCTACTATCCATGGGCAGGTACGCATAAAAGACACAGAACAGATAATGCGGAAAATGCGGCAGCAGCCAATTTACTTTTGAATGGTATTTGCTTTATTGTTTGTCGTCTGGAAGCAGAGATATGGACGGGAACGTGCAGAGGGAAATTTTGAATATAACTATTCTGAGGGCTTAGTTGGATGAAATTTGGGTCATACGGGGTCAAGTCAGGTCTAGGTGGTCATCCTTGGTCACGCTGGGTCAGGCAGGTCGTATAGGTCACCACGTTACATTGGATCGGCCTGGGCCACACTTCTACTACTTCTACCCATACCACTACTCCTACCACTACCCCTATCCCTACCACTACCCCTCCCACCACCCCTAACACTACCTCTAATACTACCACTACCCCTACCGCTACTCCTACCACGACTACTACTACTACTACTACCACTACCATTACCACTACACCTACCACTGCCACTGGGTCATGTGAGGTCACAGGCTATCAGATAAGCTGATAAACTAAAAAAGTGTTCCTAACCCTGCTCCTACTCGTGTCATTCCATTATTATTAATCGTATTTTGTGGAAATGGCGCCTTGAGACAAATGTGGCGCATTGCGACAAAAGTGGCGCATTTTAATTGTTGTTTTGCCATGCATCCTTCCACCGAATAACACCTTTCTCGGACCATATTTGACAAATTTGTGTGATTTGCGGCAAAAATGGCGCCTTTGGTCAAATGTGGCGCATTGCGGCATTTATGTAGGCGTATTGAAAACTGTTTTTATTTACCGAAAATCAACATCCTCATTCGCGTCTGTTAATCAAAATAAATAACCTGCCAATCTGCAAATGAGAGGCACCCGTTGCCGTTGCCATGTATTTTAGTTGCAAAGTTCATTGAACCCGGCTGCCGATGCCTTGAAGACCGAGCAAATTCTGAGGAAATGTGCACTTTTCCAGCATGTGCCACGTGCGAACCACCCCCCCCCCCCGAGACTCGAAACACGACACTGCACGTGCCCGTGACGTCATCAATACCGTGTGCAAATTTCAGCCCCCTCCACCGCACCGTCTGACCCCCGCACGACGGTAAAGCGCACCTCTGCGCGGTGCAAACAGAGAGACAGACAAACAGAGTTTCATTCAACAAATAGTATAGTAGACAAGTGGCTGCGCCACTTGCTTCGCGGCGTAGCCAGAAAATGCGGCAGGAGCCAATTTGCTTTCGAATGGTTTGTTTGTTTGTTAATTGGGGCTTTAGGTCGCGCCGACTACTTAGGTCATTTTGCGTCCATAACGTCGTTTTAATAAAACAAGTGTGTCAATAGAGAGAACCTTCTATATACGAAGACTAAAAAGTAAAAGACTCAATATAAAAGAGCAAGGTAAGATAAAAGCAGCGCAAGAGTGTCGTCCTAGACAACCGACCAGGGTGTTTCACTAAAAGTGTCAAAAAGTAAATGCCTATTAAAGTTATATAAAATATGCAAATCACGTGGTTGCGCACGTGGCTTTGTTGCAAATTTTTGGACATTTCTGCTTTGTCCATTTAAGATATATTTTACACTCATACGGAGCGAGGGCAGGAGGCCAAAGTTACTAGCCGTTTTTTTCCTTATGCAGAACAAGAACATGTTATTTACACCGCAACAGGAGGGGTAAATTACACTTACCTTTGGTGCCATCAGAAACATTGAAACCGTATGCCGACTTTTCAGGAAACGTTTTATTCTCTCATCTCGCTACGTTCCAGATTATAAAAGGTTCAAAGGGCTTCTTGAGAGGTTTAAAAGGGTTCCTTCGATGCCGGTCCCAGTCCAAAAAAGACGGGGTCCCCCACCTCTCGGCGGAAACCGTTGAAAAGGTCAGGGTCTTTTTGAGGGTCTTTGAAGATAACAAGAAGCTAATTTGAACATTAGAAATAGCCAAGGCCTTACAAGATATCAAAAACAGCCACTATAATGGCTGTAATCACCAGGAACTGGCTGGATTAGAAGTTCCTGCGCCGAAAAATCAGCTGCCTCGCCGCCCGCCTCTGGCCAGCGCAAAGCCCCGATCTGTCACCGCTTTACTTCTGGTTTTGGTTAGTAGCTCTCGCAGAGCTGAGGAAGACTCAAGTCGCATCACTTCGGGAGCTGAAGAGCACCATTCAAGGCTTTGCCGACAGTCTGGATGCTGAAGATGAAAACGGGCTGTGAGGCACCTCCGGACACGTGCCGAAACGGTGCATTTGTGGAATAGGTTTGTGGAATATTGAAGGAATTGAAGGATATGTGGAATAGGTTTGAGTGACGGTGCTATCGTTTTTATACATTCAAATGTCCAACAATTGCGGATGAAATGGTATGCAAATTTCCGTAGAAAGTATTGTTATTATGTGCATTATAACCTTTTACTTTTTGACACTTTTAGTGAAACACCCTGTAGATGTAAGGACTAGAGAGGACTAGTTGGATTAATGTCAGGTCGAGTAAATCACTTGGAAGTTGATCGAACGGATAAAGGAAAAAATATTGCCGGATAAAACCCAGGGTGAGTCGTCACCCAGAAGGTGGCGGATAGTGGTATCCGGAGCGATGCGCCCGAGATAGCGTGTCCGGCTCGGTCCAGCGAGAGGACAAGATAAAAGCACGTGAGAGACAGTGAGAGGCACGGCACACCGACTGCATGTGGGTTGTTCCTCTCCACGGAGGAGATAGCTATGAGTCGCGTACGTATGACCAATACGTAATCTGCAGAGGACCACTTCCAGGTGCCTGTTGCTTTGGAAGCAAGACTCCCAGGGCTCCAAGGTAGGCTTTACGCTCCGCAGCTTCCCAGATCCTTGGAGATGCCACTCTGCCTGCCAGCTTGACGTCGTGAAAGTTTGGATGGCTGGGTAAAAATCACGAGCCGGCAGGGGCAAACGCCGAAGGCATGGAGCCGCGAGACGCGACGCGATTGCCAGTTATACCCACATGGCTTGGAATCCAGCAAAACTTGATAGTTTTGCCTGACTGCTCCGCCGACGTGAGCCGAGATAAAGGGTGCGTTCGGAGAGGCAGATTCCCGGGGAATATTCCACGCCGGCATGAAATTTCCGCCGAATGTGCCGTTCGGAGAGCGATTCCCGGGGAAAGTTCCGCGGAACGGACGCGGAAAGCGCGGAATCTAAAAAGCATCTCATGCGTCGTTCCCGTTAAGATGGCGGCGCCCATCGGTATGCTCGAGTGAGTATATTATTGAATATAAATGGATATTTCTTGCGTTTGTTTCCACCTTGATCAGTTTTATTGCAAATCCAACAATTGATAATGCTTACTCAGTTGTGTGATTGTCCTCTGAAGCAATGAAAACGATAATTTGAAGTGTTGTGTTGTGTGTGTTCGGGGTAGGGGGGGGGGGCACAGTACAGATGGGACTTTTTGAAAATAATTGTGATTTTTCTTAGTTGTTCTTTCTTCAAGAGCTTCATTCTTATTACATCTTGCCATATAGATGTAGCGTTCCAAATAACCAAATAACCCAAATAACCCAAACAAAATCCCACGAACTCAACTTGGCGCAGTAGCGCCGATCCTTGAAATTGGCGGTAGGGTAGTGTGGGGTAATTTGAACATATTTTTACGTCTTCTCCGTTGTACCAAATTCCAGTTCAACCCTGGATGAAGAAAAACTGCTTCAGTAGCGCAAGTGTCACTTGCTTTCACCATGCAAGCCTCATTTTTGGACGAGCCGAGCATACCTTGAATAGCATAGCCTCACTTCTCCACCAAGTCACGGTGTGTTCAAACTGCCCCACCGTGGGGTAATTTGAACATACTGCCTTTACCTGTCATAGAAATGATAGTCTCGCCAGCACCGATGTTGTTTGACCCATAAACAAATAGGCAGAACAATTCTAAACATACCTTTACTTGAAAAATCAACACAACAGCAAAAATAACAGTTGCAGAGTATCAATATCTGCACGCTGCACACCGGTCAGTTGACAGAATTCGCCCCTCTTCAATTAACAGAACGTCTATCATTTTTTTCGATAAAAACTCTCCCAACCGTACTACATCTGTTAAAGTGGTGCCAATCGAAACCTGGACATTTGGAGTTCTGATTTTGTCCAATGTCCAATTCGGAATTGGTTGGACAAAGGTAGCAGGCTGGACAACATTGGACGATGGCTTGCTACACTTTAGTGCTTTTTATAAGGTAATCGTGCATAGCATTGATTGGCGAATGGAAAGCTTGTTAAGCTCTCAATATAATGAACACTTTTCGGCTGGTAAAATTACATGATAAGCAATATAAATGACAGTTTTGAGTGTTGATAGCTGCATAATTTTCGGACATATTTGGACAAATAGTTGACTTTAACATTTTTGGACGGAAAATCAACAAAAATGCTGGACATTGGACGGATATTAGACGAAAATTTTCTAAAACTGGCATCACTTATCTGCTACTGCCTTGGGTCGAAAATATTGGCAAAAAAAAACTGGGAACGTTGTTTTTTCGGAGCTATCCCTGTCTTCATTCAAATTCTCACACTATGTTCAAATTACCCCACGCTAAAAGTTATTTTGCCATTTTAAAAAACAGAGTTCAAAAACAAATTTCTTGGATTGAAGGCACTGATTAGGTCATTATACAACAAAAGCCGTTGCGTATTAGGCGCTAGCAATGCAAGATTTTGCGCTGCAATGAAGTTGCAATGACGTGTTGTTAGGCGTTTTTCCTTGCGAAATTGATTTTTACACTGTGCGTCAACATCTTCATTCCCTGAAACTTTAAACCCCGTTCATATGATAGCCCTTTTAGTTACGATAATTTCTCTCATTGGTCTTATTGTCATGCCACTTATGGATTTTCCGTAATTTTCTGTTATTCACACTATGTTCAAATTGCCCCACATGTTCAAATTACCCCACCCTACCCTATGGAATGTCC